ATGACGAGGACGACGAACTCGACCCCCCGTGGGTGGGGTCACAACATGAGTGGCGTCAGTGGTCCCTCCGAACATGACGTGTGAGGCAGCCTTGGGAAAGCATGCGGTCAATATAGGTCAAACCTCAAACTAAAACATCACTTGAATACTTACCCTTGCTCACGCAGGCAAGGTCGAAGACACAGTGGTGGCCCATCGGCCTCCGACGACTCCTCCCATGGCTGCTTGTCGTGATCCATTCTGGCTGACGAAGAAGGGACTATGAGCGTGCAAGAGCAAGAACATGGAAGTAGCAGAGCAAGCGATTCAAAACGAATGCCCCCTCCGCCGTACCACTCTAGAATATTTATAGCCACTATGGATGCTTAAGACGCGCACACGCACTCACATTTACTAACTGCCTGGGGAATCCCGTAGAGCAGGTGAAGCGATCGAAGGGAAGGCAGAGCAACGGTTGCTCACGCAGCGGCGCGAACCAAGTAAGCCTCGCACATTCCCACTCTTTCCATATCATTTTGATTTACGCGCCCATGTTTAGTGGTGCATGACTACACATGAGTGGGCGCCATTATGCCACGATGTGACCGGGAAGGCGGACCCTCCATGAGATCATCGCGAGAACGACCCACCGCAATCACGACCCCATGTCGTGCTTAGAGAATCCATTCTCAGGTCGGTCCTTAGAAGGACTCGAGGCCACAAAGGGATAGGGATAGGGTGAGATGGGCCCCTGTGGCTCTAATCAGTGGTATAGAGCCACGCGACCATCTTTCTCTGTGTTCGAGTCATCTGCTTCGAAGTCACCCGAGTTGACTCCCTCTAGGGGGGAGGCATCTTGCCATCTGACCGCTGTGGAGGCACTGGGACGGGGACGAGTTTGACAGCCGATGATTTATGGGATGTCTCTCAATGAGGCATAGCCAAACCCCACATCGATTGGGGAGGATATCAGGTCCCGCTCGAATTACCCATCGACCCCGATGAGGCGCACCGCTCCGACCGCGTGGTTACGGTGGACATGCCTCTCCCCGCATGGGGCGAAACCAAACCCGCCTATCACAAGGTAGCACGACCACTTGGGGTCAGCAAGGACGCTAGGGAAAAGTGGAGTCAGGTCCCCATGACCCCGTTGGAAGTCAAGGCCAAGCCGTGACCAACTCCTCCCTATGTCCTAGGTCTAAGACCTAAGGCTAGCTCCAGAGACTCACAAACCGCCAGAGGTCCATGATCTCTCCAAGAGAGATCAACGAAGCAAATAGCTAGGATAGCACAGTAGTGTCTCCCTCGTGGAGCAATGCGAAATCCAAACGTGATCACGGCTCGGTCACATGGAAAAACAAAAGGTCCAAGACCTACGAGCCACCGCACGACCACCTCAATCCACCCCCGCTCACAAGTCCCCTTCTAGCACCAACTGTTGGAAGGGGCAGCAGCGACCTCCGGCCATCGTAAACCATCCCCCACAGATCCCATGTTTGGAACCTCACGGTTCTCTTCAAATTCCTCTCTCTCTCTTCCCCTCTCTTAAAACTCAGCTTCTTAAAGGGAGCTAAAAGAGATACGTAGACACGGCTGAACGTGGTTTGAACGGTAAAGAGGCATCTATTTATAAGCCCAAGGACTGACCAGCCTGAGGCCCCCACATCGCATGGAGCACCACGGCAGGCCGCAGCCACTATTAGATGCATGCGTGACATCAGGCAAATCGAGACCCTCCTAAAGGCGGAGCTAGTACAGCGTCGACAAGAACACTCAGCCCCGCCTGGGTCACGAAACCCTACGCACAACACACTGACATGGCAAGGCTCAGCAGTCGCGCACCGCACCGTCAGGGCGCCCTGACAGGCCGGGACGCAGCAGCCACCTACCGCATTGAACACACTAGCCCACCGAGGGGTCAAGCGCCGAAGCTCGAACTAGCCTCAACTACGAACCCACACTCAACACATGCGCATATCAGCGCTTCATGATCACTATGTGATCGCAAAAACGCTCGGGGGCTACTGTCGGGGTTATGATAACCTAGGTATCTCAAGCCATCGATTAGTTAGTCGCCCGGACGGCCCACAACACGTCAGCTAGTATACGCCCAAACGATCATGGCCCAGCTAAGCCACGTGGGTTGGACTAAGCTCTGAAGCTAGGGGTCCGTCATGGCCCCTTCCCTCTACCTTAGCTGCACACTACGCATCAACTCACGACCTCTCACCGCCCTGTCCCATACGAGGAACAGGGAGAGGTCGAGCCCACCAAGCGTGTCTGCTCTGACAAGAGCAGGCATGCCGCACAGACCCCACAAGGACCGAGGGGACAGCGGTCACCTTGGTCCGGTCAGACGCCACCCCTGCGCCACGCAGCGTAGACAAGACAACAACACCAAGCGGTGACGGTCAGTACGGAGACCCGTCGTCGAAATACGGCCTGACGAGACATATGTACGATCCCACTAGCCATGAGATGGGATCCACGACGATGGCCTTGACTTAGGAGGACACCCAAGCTAGCAAGGGCCATGACCCCTTAGCTCAGGATCGTGGCCACCGACTACGCAGACAGCAAGATGACCGATGACCTAGGGGCGGCTACCAACTCCTGTACGATGCCCCTGGGAGATCAGGCAATGATGAAGGCCACGGCGAAAACCACGTCGCACAGGACGGCTGGCGAACAACCACTGTGCCTACAGTGCCACCATGGCCGGCACAGTAGCACCACGCCACACCATGCCACGAGGTGGACACAAGACCATGACGACAACCACGTCCAGACGTGCACCACAAGACGGCGTAACTTGCAAGCCAAGTTAGCTAGCCCCTCTCCGTCAGGCTAATGACCCCTCGGTCGGGAGAACCTTCTTCTTTGTAACCTGGTCCCGGACTCTATATAAGGGCAGCCAGGGCCCCCCTTTCGGGGCATCCGAATATGATCATCTCCATTCTCTCCGAGCTCTCGAAGCTTTCCTTCGGGCAGTCCATCTCCTAGCTCTAACTCTCCTACCTCTTTCACCATTCTTGCACCCTCCATTGTAAGAAGTTCAAAGCATTCAAGCGAGGAACACGCTACTCGATCATCTCTGAGACTGGACGTAGGGCTCTCGTCCTAAACCAGTATACATCCTCGTGTCTTTTGGATGTTACCATCGCCTTCTTGGAGCAGCGCGACATTCGTATAAATTTACTAGTCCGATAAAACACCAACAGTTCTCTAGATCATCAGATCTCCAAGCATGATGGGCATAGCACCTTGACCATTGTGGAACATCTGTGTTTGAGGCTTCAAAGAAAATGAGGAAAAACCCCGGTGCGAAACCTGTGTCGAGCGGGGCTCGAACCCAGGCCTAGGAGCTCCACCGAGCGACTCTCACCGCTGAGTAGCCGAGTAGGGTCCTATGATTCTCTAGTCATTTTGTCCAGATTTCTTGCTTCTTAGAGGATTATAAGAGGTTGTCCACAGATGAGGATGTTTGTATATCTAGATCTACATATATATAGCAATGCATGGAGCGTAGTGAGAGAGAGGTGATCTTTTTTTTTGCAAGAAACAAAAACAAAGTGTTTCTCTAGTTAATGATTTTAAAATTTCATTTGTACTTTAAAGGGGAATAATATTTTGAAGCAATTATATGTTGCCTGGAGTTCATTTGGTTCGAGCCCTTGGTTTCATTGCCTGGTGACTTGTGAGAATTGTCTGGCCCAGTTGTCGGGTGCCAGGCGTGCAGGCGTGTTTGATGCTGCCCTTGTCTTGGACTGCCCACCAGACACGCGGATCCCACCCTAGGCGCTCGAAATCGAACGCCTGGGAGTGATGCCTGGCGCAGGAAACTTTCCCAGGCTGCAATCCAAACAGCCTGCCTGGGTTTGTGACGCGGTTGCCTGGCTACAATCACGCACTGCTCTTCTAATAAATAAAACTGAGTGCAGCCCCAGGCAACTAACAAACCAAACGCCGCCAGTCTCTTTCACGTGCTCAGGCACATACCGTGGGCTTAAACCAAATAATTCAGTTGATTCTTGATTTGCCTGACCAGGCATTTTTGCAACCGCTGGCAGGCATGTCACAGGCTTGTAAAATGTCCAGGCAACTAAGTCATGGATGCATCCAAATAGACTCTAAGTGCATATCAAAAGCTACTATCTAGAAAAGCTAAAACATCTTATAATTTGGAATGGAGAGAGTATTACATATCAGTTCATCCCAAACCCGTGAGCCGTCAGAGTGGCATGCACATCAAACTTTATTTCCGAGCTCTAAAGTTTATAAAATTTTTGATGTAAGAGGGAAAAAAAAGGCTGCCTAGAATGTGTATGTACACCTTCGAAGTTGGCACCACTTTGCTCACTTCAGAAACACGACACAGCGCAAACAAAATGTGTGGTCAATCAGAAACTCAAAAAATCATTGCCGCTGTCCCATTTGCCATTCTTGTATAGCGAAGCGAAGGGCATTGTTGGGAATTAACTCATGGTGCGTCAAATTAAGGTAGGTCATGGGAGACATTGTATGCCCCCTTTCGATCCAATCTTTAATGGCGTCACCTTCATATGTGAATCCATCAGCGGCAATATGTGGATCTCGCATAATCTCCTGAAACAACGCAATAATGCATATGCAACATTATATTAGTTGAAAGGAATTCAAACTTTACTCTGGTGGCTGACTGTTAAGAGTTGAATGTAATTACTGTGTGGTAAACTTACTGTCAGGCTCATAGGTAGGAGATTGTGATACTAGGAGATTGCCAAAAAAAAAGATTGTTATACTAGGTGTGTATGTGATTGTGATACTAGGTGAAGATTTATTTTTCATCTACACTAGCTACTCCTGCAGCCCTGCTGAGTACTAGCATTATAGTGCCCCAGCTTGCCTACAAAGTTAGCATTATAGTCTTAACATTATGATGGTGTTTGTATTTATAGAATGTTTGTAGGCAAGACTATATTGTTAAGACCTGACTCATAAGTTTTCTCCCCCAGCTTGCCAATTATAAGATTTATTTAGAGTCAGCTTCTACAATTGCAACTGATCTGTGTCATTGGGCAGACGAAATATGATGGTTCATCTGCCTCCGGAGGATGCATTGAAGAAGGTGGCGGCTCATTCATCATAGCTTGCAGGATACCCCATGCCTCTTTTGCAAGATCAGGGCGGTCCTTTCTGTTTAACCGACAGCATTTCAGAGCTAGTCTTGCCAACTCCTCGGCGTGCTCAAGAGGCCATTCCCCTGCAGAGGCATCAAGTATCTCATGCAAGACACCACTGCTCATGGATGCCTCCACCTCACTCTGAAGGCCAAGTGGGCTCTTGCCTGTTAGCAAACGCAGCAGCACAACTCCAAAGGAGTAGACATCGTACTGCGCTGTAAGCTCCCCAGAAAGCATATACCCTGGATCCATGTACCCCAATGTGTCTTTTATGTGGTCCGTTCTGTGGTAAGGGGTGACAGTGGTGTTTGTCAGGTCTAAGGAGCGAGAAATTCCAAAGTCCCCCAGCTTGCCTACAAAGTTAGCATCAAGGAGGACGTTGTCAGGCTTCAGATCACCATGGGCGATGCTTTTTAGTTTGTTGGAGTGGAGGAAGATGAGCGCTGTGCAGATGTCGGCAGCAATTCTGACGCGCATTCTCCATGGGAGTGGGTCAGTGTGTAGCTTGCACTGGAGGCGGTCCTCTAGGCTTCCGTTTGGCATGAATTCATAAACCAGCACCTTGGGATATCTGCACACTCCAATGAGAGTGACAAGGTTCGGATGTCTCATCCTACATAGAATCTCCACCTGTAAGTAGTATTTGCAAAAGTTGCAGATTTAGATTTGTTTCCTCCCATGGAAATAAAGCCTACATTTGAAGTGGCTGAAAATTAAAATACCTCATCGTTGAACTCTTTCTCTCCTACTGCGCCTTCTCGGTTGAATTTCTTTATGGCCACAGTGGTCTGACGGAGAAAAACCCCTGTAGACACTAGCACATCCACCTTGTCCAATCTCCCTAGAGCCATCGAAGTTGTTGGTTGCTTCTTCAGTCTCACTATAGCTAAACTCTGTCAAGGAAACTTCACCGGCAGAGGCAAAATTTCTGTTGCTATATAGTTTGCGCATCTCTTCAACCTCTCGTAGAGCGTCTTCTTTCTCACGCTGCAGCTCTCCTTGCAGCTGCTGGAGCTCTTCCAAAAGAGAGTTGGTCTGGAGAAGCTTATTATCCAGTTGTGCCCTTTGCTCGTTTGCCTTCTGTAGCTCATTGTATATCTGCAACTTCTCCTTTTCAAGAATAGACTTTTCTTTGGTCAGTTTTTCCTCTACCTCCTTTTTTTCTTTGCAGAGTGAATTCTGCCGTGCTTTGGACTGCAAGAAAATTATTTGAAGACACGAAAGATTAGTTGACCAATTAAGAAAAAAATTGCTCATGTTTACCTTGCTGGCATTTGGATCTTTTGTTTTCTCAAAGAAAAAAAAAGGATTTCTTCTATTCAGAGATAAGGGTAAGGGTAAACATGTAACATTATGATTAAGCAAGAAGAAAGTAGTTTACAAAAGCACAGAAGTCATACCTTCATGGAAGCTTCAAACAGGTCCCTTTCTGCTTTTTGTCGGCCCTCACATGCTTCCTTTCTTGATCGTTCTAGCTCAGTGCGAGCTTGCTGTAGATGCTCAAACACTTCATTATGCATGCCATTTTGCACCTACAAAAGGTTAAGATCTGCTTTGAGTTCAACAAATAACAGAGCATTATCCAACTACTATAAGTATCTTTTGCAAAATCAAGAATATCAGCCAAATGTTCCATGACTGTTGCAAATTTGTAAATATATGATATAGCAAAGCAACATGTTCTAAGTTCTCAGCAAATGGTGAGCCTTTTTGACACCAGATAACACCATCAATCATAACAAGGGAGCTCTCCTGCATATTTACATTTTCTTTAGATCTTGGAATAAAAGATCTACATCCCACATATTTACATTGAGTTACAACCATTACCATATAGAAAAAAGGGCAGACCCAGTGCCGGAGGCTCCCACATGAGTGGGATCTGGGGAAGGGAAAAACTGAGGCAAGCCTTCCCCCGCAAAATCTGCGGAGAGGTTGTTTCGAACCCGCAACCTGGTGACTCAGTTACAACCATTACCATATAGAGGTTTTCAAAAAAGAGTTACAACCATATAGACATCAATGCCACATGATTAGTAGCATTTTAAGTTTGCATTCCCAAAACTTCAAAAGGCTTTAATTTGTTCCTAGAACCGTAGGGAGAAAAAAGAGAGTTGAAACTACAACTTGTTTATGGCCTTTGGTCATAAAAATCTCTATGGATCAATGATTACTTGGAAATTTTGCATGTGATTCCTACATTCAAGAAGAATTATTTGTGTATGAATAGGTCATCAGGTATAGCTTAGAACTCGTAGTAACTATGTATTTGAGATCCATTTAAGCACAGGGGCACCTGGTACCTTTTTTTTTAACACATAGCAATTGGTTTCAATTGACCTTGTTTTAAAGCATAGCAAATGGTTTCAGCTTAACACTATACCAGTAGTTATTTTGGCAAGCTCATTATTAGAGAACACTACTCAGTTCTGGAGTTACCATAGACATTTGCTGCTCTTCGTAGCTGATAATGGATGCTGGTACTGGCGACCCATCTAAACTGTCTGAATCCTTTAGACTCGATGAGGAGGACCCTTCATTGCTCGGGAGGCTGGAGTTCGAAGACCAATTTGTTGTTTCACATGTATCGACTGCTGTGCTATAGGTGACATCCTTTCCACATTGTTTCCCATCAATCCTGACGAGGGGTAACTAACTGAGTGTGACCGTCGAGGTAGGAATGGTTCATCAGGGGGGCCTGTAACCAGGATGCCCTGGTGGCAGTGACACCGATCTTGTAGGTAACTCAGTTTCATCTGAGAGAGTGCTTGCAGAACTGCTTCTAGGTGAATCGGCTTTTGTAGAGTCCAGATTGGCATCCCTGAAATTGAGGATGAATTGACGACAACATTGTTTTACCAGGTTGCCCAAAAAAATGATTGCGAGTCATTGCACAAGTCAGGATTGCTATACAATTTTTGAGCAGCAGGGATGCATGAAGGTCGAAGGGTAAATACCTAGTGCATCCAACAGACCCTTTGCAAATGAAGAAGATCTGGCAAAATGGTTTGGCCTGTTGATGCACAATGGCTGCAACTTTTGACTTGGGTACTTTCCTCTTCCTGTTCATGGAAATCAATGGTCAACAACATAAATAACAGAGCTGACCTCTAATTTAGACAGGGTGATGGTAACTATAAATCATATTTTGCTTCTAAGAAGTTCAATCACACCTTGTGATTTCCATGTACCTTGTAACAAGTATGCAAGAAACAAAAGCGCTGGATTTTGTTACTCATACTTTGTTTCAGCAAGAAGTATCTTTTCTGTTGGCTATCAATCCTGTTGCCTTTCTTGTACTTATTAACATGGAAAGCAACAGATGCGGCGATGAACAAATTGAACATAGTACTTTCACAACTCAGACTTTTAGATAAAAGGAAAATAATCCGGCCTCTATATCCACACATGAATGTATATAGCCCAACTTTCACAACTCAGATGATGCTCTGATATTCCACTAAACGAAAGATGGTGTATTAATATCTATATAATAATCTATGCAGTTTAGGATAAACTCATGTATGATTTATGATGCTGATTAATGAGCTCTACAATGCCATTTGCGACATTGTTCTTCTCAATGATCAATGTTTCAGCTTGGACCTGTAAAAGTTAATGTTTTAGTGGGATGGCAATGGCATATAAATAGAAAAAAAAAAGCACTGCCTAGTTTGTAGTTTATTTTTTTTGGAAATCCTGCCTTAGCAATTTCCTTATTACTAGTTGAGGGTTTTTTCTTTTTTCTTTTTTTTTGTGAACAAGTTGAGGGTTTTTTCATGATGTACTCTGATTTTTTTTCTCACGAAGTTCAACTAGACCTGACACATAGATGCATGGTAAGTTGACCAGAGCGCAGAGGTACAATACAAATAAAGAAATGCTGAGAAGTAGTTGAACTTTACAGATGGCTCAAGGAAATTAAATAATTGACTGACCTTGCGATACGACCTGCAGTGGTTCACGTAGGTGTTGAGAAGTGTGTCCATCTCTCCTTGTTCAATCTGCCTGTATGCTTTGAGTTCCTTTTCTTCTAGCTGGCTTGCAAGAACCTTGCAACCTAGTCCTACACACACAGAAATTAACATAGAAAAACATAGATCGGTGTTAACTCCATTTATGATTACAATTTTTTTGCGTGCGTGAAGCGACAGGGCAATAGGAAAGCCCTGTTTAGCTCACCCAAAATCTAAAAATTTTCAAGATTCCTCATCACATCAAATCACATTTGAAGCATTAAATGTAAATAAAAAAATAATTAATTGCACAGTTTGCCCGTAATTGACGAGTCCAATCTTTTAAACCTAAATAATTCATAATTGAACAATTTTTGCTAAATACAAACAAAAATGCTACGATAGCCAAAAGACAAAAAATTTCGCATCTAAACGGAGCCTTATTTTGCAGGCGTGGCGACTCTGTTAGCTCAGCTATAGCTAGGCTAGGCTATGAAAAAGAGACAAGGGCTAGAAACTAAACAAACAAATTAAATAAAGTTGATGGTCTGTTATTTACCGTTCATGATCCTGTCGGCAGGTTGGTGGACATGGAGCAGGACGGGCTTGAGATCGCCGCCGACGAGCCCGAGGCTCTGATCGGCGCTGAGATTGGACTTGTCATCCTTGAGGTCCTTCCCGACGGCCACATAGAGCTTCCCGCCGCCTCCATCGTCGTCGGCCACAACCACCGCAGCCTCCTCGTCAATGTCTCTGAGGCTGGCGCTCCTGAGGCTACCGCTAGTACCGGTTGACGAGCGGCCGCTCCCTCCCCGCATGAACATCCTCTCGGCGTCCGGCTGAGGCTGAGGCTGAGGCGACGGTGGCAACGGTGGGGAAGGGGAAGGAACGGGGAGAGCCGCGGGCGCTGACCACTGCCATGCGCCGCAAGTGCTTGCTGTTATTGCTCTACAGTATTGTCCAGCTAGCACTAGAGAAGAAGCAAGCAAGCGCCATACGCATATATAATCGTTTACTACCACCAGTCGCAAACGTAATTTTATATAGGTTTGTGCTAAGGTAAATTTTGTTAACTTCAATTGTTGATAAAAAATTTATTTAAATTGACAACACAAGGTTAATGATTAGAATTCATTATGAAGGCCTTATTTGACACAGTTGTTTGGAGCTATTTTGGCCCCGTCGCTTCGCTGAAAAAACAAGTCGCAACACTGTTCCGGCTAATTTGTTGGGAGAGAAAAATACTGTTTCAACTAAAAAAACAAACTGAAAGTATGGATTATAAGACAAGCGAACATGGTCTTTATGCCAAATGAAATAAAATAAAATAGCTCCATCCAAGAGGCTCTTTAAAACATGCTCTCATTAGGGATGGATGAAAGATAGAGCTGAAAACAGTAGTTGTTGACAAAAGATGTTCGGCGATCCACCGAGGGGTATCCCGCGATGATAGATTTGTCGGTGGGGGTGCGCGTAATCAGGAACCGAATGGTGACACAAGGCGCAGAGACAGCGATTTAGACAGGTTCGGGCCGTCTGATCGACGTAATACCCTACGTCCTATGTCGTTGTTGTATTGTATGATATATGAGGTGTATGTAGATGTCGACTAGGGGACCCCTGCCCCTCCTTATATACTCTGGAGGGGTAGGGTTACAAGAAAAGTATCATATTTGGTACTATACAATATCTTACGGTGCACGTCAACCAGTGTCGTGCACGCCTTATCTTGTGGGTTGGGTCACTTCTGATGGTGCGGCCCATGTCTTGTCTTATGGATACCGGGGGTCATATCCCCCACAGCTAGTCCTCGAGCGCCTTGTATCCTTTGAGCAACGCTGTCTTGAACAAGTACGAGCACTTTGACGTGAAGCCGATCAATTTAACTAGTGATCCGAGCAGTGGAAGTCGAAACCGACCAGTTTAGCTGGTGACCTAGGTGGTGAAGGTCGAAGCCGACCAGTTTAACTGGTGACCTGGACGGTGAAAGTCAATGCCGACCAGTATAACTGGGTAGAAGACATCGGACTTAGCCAAGTAAGGCTTGCTAGAAGGATGTAGGGGCTAAGATAAAATTTAAAAAAAAAATTTCACTTAGGAGAAGTGTAGCCACGTAGACTCCGTCAATAAGGAAGGTAAATAAAAAAATAAGCACTACATTCACTGTCAGGTGACGTGTAGCCACTTAGTCCCCGAGACTGCTGGAAGATGAAGAAAGAATCTTTTAGTAGGGTCAAAGAAAAAAAGTCTAAAAGCTTGTCGACGTCATCTGACATGCGCGTATCAAGACCCCAGACGTGCTGCCCAAAATTAGCACCCTGATTCGAACAGCATGGAGCAGCTTGATAGCACACCAATGAAACGTAGCAAGATCCGACCAAGGAAGTCCTCAGCTTAGCTGGCGATGCTTGCACGAAGAATCTGAACACTAAGGAATCCCCAGCGTAGCTGGCGATGTCCGAGCACCGAGGAGTTCTCGGCGTAGCTGGCGATGTCCGAGCACCGAGAAGTCCCCAGCGCAGCTGGCGATGTCCGAGCGCCGAGGAGTCCCCGACGTAGCTGGCGATGTCCGAGCGCCGACGAGTCTCCGGCGTATCTGGCGATGTCCGAGCACCGAGGAGTCCCCGGCGTAGCTAGCGATGTCCGAGCGCCGAGGAGTCTCCGGCGTAGCTAGCGATGTCCGAGCATCGAGGAGTCCCCGGCATAGCTGACGATGTCCGAGCATCGAGGAGTCTCCGACTTAGCTAGTAAGCCCCCAGCATAGCTGATGATGAAGCACGAGCGACGAACAGTCCAGTCAACTGGTCGGCGGCGAAGTGAGCAATGAGTAGAAGCGACCGACGAACAGTTCGATCAACTGGTCAGCGATGAAGTCCATGAACCTAGCTGTCGGTGCAGAAAATGACCAACACGTAAATATTTGTAGTTTTGCTATACGTTGTGATCGGATGTGGCCTAGTACTCAATGACGCAGGGTTTATACTGGTTCAGGCAACGTGCCCTACGTCCAGTTTGAGTCGGTCGGTGACTTTATTCTTGAGCCCAGGTGCTCGAAGTTTGCTGTAGGGTTACAAATGGAAAGGAGAAAGATGGAGGTGCAAGAGGTCTGGTCAAACTCCGGTCCGAAGGGCCGAGAGTGACGAGAGCTCCACTATGTGCTAAGTGTTCGAACGTGTGCTCAAGGTTTGAACCTAGTGGTTTCGTTGTAGTTTGTGAGTGAACTGATCGATCTTCCCTTTTGGGAGAGGGCGCATCCCTTTTTATAGATGAAGGGGATGGCTTTACAAGTGAGAGAGGGAGAGTGTACGTATGCTAAGTCTTGTTGCCCATGCCGTTGGGTACAAGATGATTGTAGGCACCCATAACACTGTAAAATGCCAGATGCATGTGGGATGTTGCGTCGTCTTCTTCTGTTATGGCAGACATCGGTGCCTGCCATACTGTTGATGCCCAGAGGTATGTAGGGGATTTTACCATGTTTGTCTGGTATGGTAAATGCCGGCGCCCACAACACTGTTGATGCCCAAAGGCATATGGGGGAGCCTTGCCATATTTGTCTGGTATGGGAGTTGATGGCGCCCACAACACTGCAGAAAAAATATCGATGCCCACAACACTGCTTGGATTCTGACATGTCAGAAAGGTTGCAGGGTACTGTCCTATAGGTGTACAGGTTATGGTCCTCGGTATTGCGGTTGACTTGAGTGCCCTGCCTTACTTTCTCCGTTCGTTTCCTGGTCCTCACTGAGTGGGCGACCTCGATCGGTTGGTCCCAGTCGGCCCTGATTGCGCCAGTCAGAGAAGAGCTGTAAGCAGGGGTTCGGTGCATCCCCAGTCGGAGACGCAGGTTGGAGTTGGAAGTGGTGCTTGGCCAGGCCTTCCGGTCGGAGAGGCTATCCAGAGGCAGGCCAGAGCCGAAAGTGAGCGTTGTTCCTCCTTAGTGAGGCCTTCCGGTCGGAGAGGCGGGCCGGAGTCGGAAGCGGGCGTCGTTCCTCCACGGCTAGGCCTTCCGATCGGAGATTGGATTGTCCTTCTAGCCTGTCATTTAGGTATTTGGGCCAGCCCAGGACTTTTGCGCATCGTTCGCAACGTCGTCCGCTGGGCCGAGCCTTCGCTGGGAAGCCGGTCCATGAGGGACACTAGGTTTATGAACTCGACAGGAGCCCCCGAGCCCCCAGGCGATTCGGGTAGAATCATCTAGGGGATTTTTGTCTTGACGGTAGGTGCGCACGAGCACACCCGCCGGGGTAGCCCCCGGGAGATTTGGGTAGAATCATCTGGGGTTTTTTGTCTTGCTAGCGGGGGAAGTTTTGTTTCATCAGTGGGTGCGCGCGAGCGCACCCACAGGTGTAGCCCCTGAGCTCCCGGGTGATTCGGGAAGAATCACCTGGGGGGTTTTGTTAGCGGGCATGAGTGTGTGCACTGTAGTGGGCATAGTCTCTTCTTTTTTAGTTTCTGACCCATCATTTCCGGGAGCGTGGTCCCAAGCGTTTGGTCACGGTCGAGGGACCAGGTGAGATGGAGTCGTGGATCCAGGCATCGGGCGCAACGAGGGATTAGGCGAGATGGAGTCACGGATCTAGGCGTCGGGCGCAACGAGGGATCGGGCGAGTCTAACTCGTAGATCCAGGCATCGGGCGCGCCAGGGGATCGGGCGAGTCAGAGTCATCGATCCAGACGTCGGGCGTGACGAGGGATCATGCGAGTCGGAGCCGTGGATCTTGGCGTCGGGTGCAACGAGGGATCGGGCGAATCAAACTCACGGATCTAGGTTTCGGGCGCACCGGGGGATCGGGTGAGTCGGAGTCATGGATCCAGGAGTCGGGCGTGCCGAGGGATCGGACGAGACATACTCGCGGATCCAAGTGTCGGGGCGCACCGGGGCATCGGTCAAGTCGGAGTAGCGAATCCTAGCGTCGGGCGTAGCCGAGGCAGTTTAGGTGTCTTGAGCCCCTGAGCCCCGTTGGGCCTGGTAGGGGTCGGTTGAGTTTTGTGCGTTACCTCGTCCATGGTTTCTCGCAACCGGAGGGGCTGAGCTAATGTCGTTTGCCTTGATAGCTCGAGTGACGCGCTCGGTGAGCTCGCTAACGGGCACGTTCGAGTGAAGTCTGGGTCCATCATTCGTGACGGGGTCGGCATAGCCCTCATATGGCACTCCACTGCTCCTTAACCTACCCTTGATGGGTTGTTCTGAAGACTGACCCGGGTGGCTCGCTGGCCTCCCCTTGATGGAGATTCTATGGGTTTGGTGAGAGGCTTGGATCGAACGAGAAGGTTGAGATGACCCTATCCGCTTTGGGGCAGACTGGGCGAGGGCCGCTTGGGGCTCATCTGCGTTTTCTCCCCTGGCTCTATTTGACACGAGGCGGCCTTAAGCCCTTTATGGGCCAGCCTTCAAACCCCGGTCGGTCGTTGCTCAAGTTGAATGAGGCAACTACCACTTCGTGACGCAACATGGAGCGTTGTGATGCATTTAACTGCGTATGCAATGCTTTTGGATGTATGTAATGGATGAATGCGTGCATGGATGAATGAATGTTTATATAAAGAAATAGTGGGGATTTGGTAATGTTATCTTGATGACTCAAGTGACGGGGTTTGAGGAGCTCCTATCGGATATGTCCAACCGGGATCTGCGCTCGTCGTTCGTGACGGAGTCGGCATGGCCCACATGGGGCATCCCTCTACTCCTTACCTATCTCTCGGCGTTCGCCTAAGCCGTCCGATCGACTCAGGAAGCCCATTGGTCTCTCCTAGCGGAGATCCTATCGTTTGGGCCTTTCCAAGTCCCGCATGGGAAGGTGGAGGGCCGCCTGCATGTAGC